TTAACATCTTAACACAAACTGGTTGGTGTTTTAACATCTTAACACAAACTGTTTGGTGTTTTAACATCTTAACACAAACTGGTTGGTGTTTTAACATCTTAACACAAACTGTTTGGTGTTTTAACATCTTAACACAAACTGGTTGGTGTTTTAACATCTTAACACAAACTGTTTTGTGTTTTAACATCTTAACACAAACTGTTTGGTGTTTTAACATCTTAACACAAACTGTTTGGTGTTTTAACATATTAACACAAACTGGTTGGTGTTTTAACATCGTAACACAAACTGGTTGGTGTTTTAACATCTTAACACAAACTGTTTGGTGTTTTAACATCTTAACACAAACTGGTTGGTGTTTTAACATCTTAACACAAACTGTTTGGTGTTTTAACATCTTAACACAAACTGTTTTATTTTGGCCAGAAAGGGTGAAACCTATTATACAGCGGAGGCTGCTGTTAAGGGATGTAAATATGAACTGGTTTGGAAGGTAAAAGCGCGTGCGTGTACCTGCGTGCGTGTACCTGCGTGCGTGTACCTGCGTGCGTGTACCTGCGTGCGTGTACCTGCGTGCGTGTGCGGGGAGCGGGAGTGTCATGGTTAGCGCGCTGCGCAACGAACCCGGCGACCTGAGTTCGATTCCCGCTCACAGCCAACACCGGTGACCATTGTCTGAACCGGTCCTGGGCCTCCCCTAGGTCGACTCGGCCTCAAATTAGTACCGATTGTGGTGTGTTAAATCATCGCCACTAGCGAGACAAAGGCCAATTGGTGCTGGCCACCCACCCCCTCGTGCACCATGCCGGCCTTCTTTACGTGCTCGCTAACAGCACTTGCCCCAACAGTCTGTTAGGGCTATATAGGGGGATCTTTGTATTTGTGTGTGTGTGTGGAGTTAGCATCGTCATCACAAGCGGGAGCAGCAAAGGGAAGGCAACGAGTCACGTGGCCAGGACACCCCCTCGGCACGGCTTTGCCCTTTCCCGTTCCGAGATGTCTGCAGGCTTGCAGGGCGGGTGTCCGTGTCCCCTTCAACCGCTGAACCTCGGAACGCGCGAGCGGTTTCAGAATTAATTTCATTTAGAGAGGCGTAGTAGCGCCGTTGTTTTTAAAGACTTTGTTACTCACCGCGGAGACCCGTGGCGACAAGACCACCGCACTCTACGATAGCTGGCGCCAAGCTGTGCCACACGCCCTCCCGCATGGCCTGTTACTCCCGATTCCGTTCCGACGATGTAACGTGTGTGTCATCGTAACGGAAAAGCACATCGGTGATGTCTTGGAAGGGTACTTATGGACAAAATTTACATCGAATGCTGAACAGGAGCAGTCCAAGACATCTTTCCTGTGCTCAATAAACACAAGCATTGATGGCATGAAAGGAAAAGCTGCAGGATATTGCATTGCGCACAAGGGTGGCGAGCTAATCACAGCGGGCATTATTCAAATTGTGTTTTTATTTATTAAATCACGGTTGCCGCTGCTGATGCGGAGGTGCGATGTGGGCACTCACAGTGGCCGCCCCCCATTCCTCCGTAGTGATTAGAGACAGCGATGAGGTCATATTTGCAGGGGCCCGGGTTCGGGTTAATGACAAACTCTGACATGTCCAGATTCCTGCAGGACAAACACACCACGAGATAACAAATAAAGCAACCAACCGGGTTAGTGCCGGAGTGCAGAGCAGTTTTAAGTTGGGTCACCACATTACCAGGCCATTACATTTTAACAGAATAACAACGAAGATCTTGGACTCAATCGCAAACTGTTGAATGAATAAATGAGCACGAGACGGAAGAGGGGTTTGAATTCTGGAACCACTCTTTGATGACCACAGTGGTGCTTGCACCTACTGTCAGGGAACCAGCAGAAATGCAAGCCAGCTGATGTGCATTACCGTGTTTTTCGGGAAACTCTTGCCAGACCGCTCCACTCATTTAAAATAATCAGGTGTCATTATTCCACGCAGTTTACGCAAATGACATTTGTGATGATGAAAAAATGTGCGCCGCCTTTGACCCAACTGTTCAGCTCATCGGTCTCAGGGCTGCTTATCCACTTGACCAATTGCAATAACCAGACACGCGACAGAAACAAGGTTCAAAACGGTACAACGGATCCGCGTGTGCTAGCAGGCTTCCCCACGAGTCGGCTAGTGGTGAAAAGGGAAGGAGATGGAACGGCAAATTCATCGGCCAACTGGGCCATCAGGATCAATGTTTTGAAAGCAGCATTTGTTTAAACAAGACGGTGGATTCGTCTTGCCTCCTCTGGATGTCATGGGCAGGAAAGCCTTGATTCCCCGTGGCAGCCATCCCTGCCACATCTTCACCTCCCCCTCTACTCACCTCCCCGTCCCCTCCCTCTCTCCCACCTCACTACCCCCTCCCCTCTATCCGCTCTTCCTGCTCGTTTGACCTCGACCGTCTTGAGGAAGATTCCTGTGCTCGTAGGCAACCGTTTCTCCCGGTTCCAGAAGAATAATTTTAGTGAGGCGTCCTCCAATTATACAACCTGCATAATTACGTGTATTATAATTGTTGTATGTTACTTATTCTGTTGACAAACTGGTTGTTTTTCAGCGACCACAGGCCATGAGCCAACACCCAACTCAACCGTCTGCCTGTCGTCTGCCCACCCATCGTCATCGTGGTCACCTGACCATGCCTACAAAGGCTTTCTTGCCAGGTTATAGCCAACATTTTAAATTTGCCTACGCTATTCTGCAACGCAATTACTTTCATCTGCCGAACACACATCCACCGCGAGGCCGGGTGCTTATTTTACCGACTAGATATAAACAAACAAAAGGGTTTAACAACAAACAAAAACGCGCAGCACCTGAACGGAAAGTCGACGAGCGTGTCCAACTTGTCGCGTAGGTATCGGCTGTAGGAGAACCTCTTGAGATGCACCACGAGGATGTGTGGCAGCGACCACAGGTCGAACTTCTTGGTGGCCTGCTGGTGCCGCTTGCAGGAGGGGCAGTACCTGGGCACAGAGGCAACAGCAGCGTCCCCCGTCAGCTCGCGAGCAGCGACGGGCAGCACGCAAGGCTCTTCATGGGCCCGTTACACTTTCTGTTTGCTACTTTCGTTCAGGGGTCGCTGCCTTGGTCTTAATAATCATCGTTACCACGATGGACTTGCAATCCAGGGCGCGCCTATTTGATGGGTGCCGGGGTGGCGAGAGGTTAACTACCTCCCCTGGTGTGCAGGAGGTCGGGGGTTCGATTCCGACCCTGACGCCTGCTGTATATTTGGAGTTTGCGTGTCTCTCTCCCTGTGGTCACATGGATTTTGCTCCGGGTCCTCCGCTTTTTCCCTCCACATTTATAATCAACATCAGGCAGTTAGAGTATTTGGCTGCTATACATTTCCACATAAGCCACTTCATTGAGCTATCATTTGTGGCCAGGTCGCTTCTGAAAAAAAGAGTTTATAGCTCAGTGGGCTTTACCTGGTAAAATAAAAATAGTTTAGTTCATATTTTCCCTGCTGGCATAGCAGTTCAACAATGGGGCAGGTTTCTTCATTTCCCCGCCTCTTTACACGAAAGCCGTATATATATAAATGGCTACAAGACAGATATTCGATCGGCAGGCCGCGTGCGGTGGGGCTACAGTGTGGGTACGCTCACTTCTTCCAAGATGTCGGCGTGGAAGAACAGAAGGCCCAATATCCTAGAGAGCTCCTTTTTAGGGGTGTCTCTTCTGCCGGTCACAGCACAAGCAAGCAACTTGCAGGGCTGCCCCTTCACCGTTCACTTTTATTTGGCAGCACTTCAGAATGCCAGCTGATCACAGGATAACAAGCTGTGAGGTCATGTGACCTCTCAGCTCGTCAACCGTTTTAATTGTCCCTTGGTATTACTTGGCCGAGTGGCCCTGCGGCACAGCGTCTTGACTCACAACTGGATCGTCACGAGAGCGCATGCTGATCTGGCGAGGATAAAATGAGTGCCACTTTGAAGGAAGTCAAGAGCGGTTGCACTGTGGAGGAATTTCCACCACTAAATTAACGCAGCCCAGTTGCTCCACCACGTCTGGTGACACCGCACATGATCAGGAGCTGACATCGTAGATGGTTTTCAAAAATTAAGAGTTCAATGGCAATGGATCATTTGAAAAGCAATGACGAATATTACGTGGTAAAACGGCATCACGTGAATTTAAGGTGTCTTATGTCAAATGTAATTCCTGGAATTATGGAAATTACATGTCTCGGTCTTCCAAAGAATAACCGTTCTTACGCAAATTACTGCTTTGTTTTATCAACCCCAGGGTTATGATGGGCTGGGTGGACCCATCGACGTGATTTGGACCCACGGTGAGATGAACACACTGCCAGCATGACACCCGGGGTGAGGGTGTCGTCTGTGATGGAACAGAGCTACACAGCCCATCGGGTTCTTACAGCTTAAATAAAACTTCTTGCGCCTATAATAATACTTTACATTCATGAGGTGCAATTCATCTAGGGATCTCAGTGCGTCATGCACAAAGTTAGGAAATATAAATACTACAAAGTGCAGAGTAGTCCACTGATTATAGCATGAGAAGTGTAGGCCTGCAGGCAAAACAGGTAAGTCTTTACAGTAGATTGCAGGTAATTGCCTGCAATCTACCAACCCTCGAGGACCTGCACACAACAAGGACCATGAGGCGAGCGAGGAAGATTGTGGCCGATTCCTCCCACCCTGGACACTCTCTGTTTCAGCTACTCCCCTCCGGCAGAAGGCTTCGGTCCATCAGGACCAAAACCTCACGCCATAAAAACAGTTTCTTCCCATCTGCTGCTGGCCTGTTAAACAAGGCCAAGGGCTTACAGTGATTTTTACATTTTATCTACATAATGACACCTTGCCGATATTAACTATGTTAACCTATTTGTATTTTTTATTTTTAAATTATATCTTCAAGCTATTTTATATTCGATATTTATTCAATTTTATATACTTCAGCCCCTTGGTGTTAGTTAGACTTTTAACCCTTATTATTATAGTAAGACTTGTTTAAAACTGATTTAAGATTTTAGATTCCTATATGTTGAATATATGCACCATCCTGCCAAAGTAAATTCCGTGTCGGTGTGAACTTTCATGGCGAATAAAACCCTTTCTAAAACCCTTTCTAGACCTAAAAACGGCGAGTGACCTCGCCTGAACTAGCCACTGGTGGGAAGGCATTCCGTGGTTTTTGCACAGCGCATGCAAAGGCTCGGTCACCCCAGCTGCAGAGTCGAGTTCTCGGCACGTGGAGCAGATGTAAATCAGCGGATCGGAGAGGCCGTGACGGCACGTGCAGGTGTATCGGTTGCTGAACGTAAAATGGTGCGAGGCCGTTCAAGGCCTTGCATGTTAGCGGCAATACTTTAAATCGTACCCGAAATTGGAAGCCAGTGGCAGAGGTTTTATTCTCGGGGCGGTAATGTTCTCACGGGATGAGGCTCACATGAGCATCCTGGCGGCCGCGTGCCGGACCAGCTGCAGTCGGCACAAGACCTCAGTCGGAACCCCCGAGCAGCAACAAGGCGTTGCAATGATCCACGCGAGACAAGGGCGGACACTCGTCGTTCCAGGTCAGTAGGTGATGGAATGTTACACGCGCAAGGAAACGTTTGCGCCTTTGGCGATGAATCACTCAGCACGTCTGCCCCAAAGCCCTTGCCAAGTATTTACGTTCCCCGACAGGGCGTCCCTCGTCCAAATGGAGAGGATGCCGACTTCGTGCCACGGGTAATCCCGCCGCAGTGGCATCCACCGAGGATGGCACGGCACGTTCCCCCAGCGCGAGGGGTGCTGGAGCCTCACCACGGGTCATCCACGCCCAGCCGCTCCTTGGTGGTGAAGAGCTCGATGCAGTCGCGCAGGCGCACCGAGTGCTTCCTCGTCGGCTGGGACTGCATGCTCTCGTGGCGCTCAAAGTCCTGAACGGCGGACGCATGAGCACGGCACGGGGGGGGGGGGGTTAAACAACGAGACAGCCACCGCGGTTAACGGGCTCCGCGCCGATCTGTTACAGCTCAACGAGCAAACCTTGTCCTGCAGAGACTGATCGACCACGTTCGTAAGTACGTATGCACCGTACGTAGCCAACCGCGCTAACTGGAGGTGCGGGGGAAAGACAACAAACTAAACACAAAAATACGTCCTAAGTAAATGAGTTTTCAATCTAGATTTTAAAGTGCATAGCTGCAGTGGAAGGAAGAGCATTCCAGACAACCATAGAAGCGCACGATGCGGTGACCACCGTCTTTGTTTTACGGCCAGCCAAAAGCCGCTGCTGCGAGGATGACCGGAGTCTGCGTGATGCTTTATGTCCCTTGACGCGTTCAGCAAGGTGTTGTATTCATCAGATACATACTGTAAACAAGTTGGTCGCTCGTGAGTAGAGGATACTGATTAGCAACGGTTTTGAGATGGCACTGCCTGGTTTATTCGGCCACACCTGCCACCTCATTGGTGTTCCATCAGCTTTCTTGGGGGTAAGAAATAGTGCCGGGGCTTGATTATCGGACGATGGTAAATGGGCAGGTGAGATGCGAACACAATTAAGGTGACGAATCAGTCACGTGTTCATCCTTCCTTTGGGAAAAATAGTTTACCCACACTTAAACGGCACTTAACAATGAACGTTAGCTTTTCTGGTACACTTATTTAGCGTGTCAAATTCAAGACGTCATCATGGCCAAGGCTGCGGATGCCACCATCGCCGCCGACACCCCTCACTGCCAACGCTTTCCACCCTCCGCCAGACCCCGCAGCTGCTGCAAGAGAAAGATGCGCAGTGACCTGCAGGGTCTCACGATCTCCCAGCGTCCGCTCTTAGGTCTCCCCCCCCACTTGGTCGCCGGACTCGCGGAGACCGCTCCAGTGCCCGTCTCGGCAATCGGCCATCCTCTCTGACCCTGCACGTACGTCCCGTCCTATGTTACCTACAACACTCACCTGGCCGTATCCTCGTCCGGACGTCCGCATTGTGCTTATCCCGTCTTGCAACGGAAACACTGCCCATTGTTACATTTCTCCCGGTCCGTATTCTCCACGTTAAAGCCACGCACTAATAGTGAGAGGGGTAAATCACCTCGGCAGCTTTTTCGTCGTAGTAGCGTCTCTTGAGCTCAGGATCCCAGTCTAACGCAATGTACGGCTGATCTAGGAAGAGTGAAAAACAACATCAGACCGGGGCATGAACCATTTGTGCTTGCGAAAAACACCACTCACTCGCTCGCTCGCTCACGGAGAGTGTCAATCACCAAGGTGCACCTTAACATACAGCTCGGTGTCTTCACGCATGTGGAATGGCATGAAGCACATTAAGGCCACCTCTCTTGCACATTAATTCAAGAGAGATGGCGCTAGGAACGCCGCGGTGGCGAGATGTTAACTACCTCGCCTGGTATACAGGAGGTCGTGGGATCGATGCCGACCCCGACACCTGTTGTATATTTGGAGTTTGCGTGTTCTCCACGTGGTCGCGTGGATTGTTCTCCGGGTCCTCTGGATTTTCCCTCCACATTTCAGCAACATGAGTTTAGAGTATTTGGCTGAAAAAAGGTCCACATGATAAGCCACTTCGTTTGGCTATCATGTGTGGTCAGGTTGCTTCTGCAAAAAGAGCTACATAGCTCAGTGGGCTTTACCTGGTAAAATAAAAAATAGTTCAGTTTAAATAATCTACCTGAACAAAAACATCTCTGGAATCGAGGTGCAATGAAAAGACTGCTCTAATTGCTCATGCAATGAATGAATTGCCCTGTTCTGCAGCCGTATGGAAATATTACGTAGCCAACCACGCAACTCTCCATCACATTTCTAATTATACTCCCAGAGTGACGCAAGTGCAACCAGAACGCAAATTGAGTGAGATGGCATTTTTGTGCAATTATTTGCGAATGGAAACCATTTCACGGAAATGTCTGAATCTGTAAGGGACGGAACCCAGACTCGAAGCCCGCGGACGTGCATTTTTCCAATGTGGACCTTTGCAGTGTTTCAAGAAGTTTGCGTGTCAGCACGAATGTACCGCTATAAGATGGCTCAAAAAAGCGAGATTTTTGTGACACAATTGTACCTATGGGCATGAGGACACGATGGTAAAAACACCTAATCTGCATGTGGCAAGAAGCGACTCTCTCTGCCGAGTAACACGGAGGGCACATGCAGCTGACTTGCAAAAGGGATGCATAGGCAGTAAAAATGCAACTTGATGAGTCGGATCGCTTTGTCCGCCACCACCGTCATCATCAGCATCGGTTTATGTGTATAGTGCTTTCAACAGAAATATGCGTCACAAAGTCATTTCAGACCAATCATCTAAACAATTTTCAGAAGTTGTCCGATCACGGATATGCCCCGAGATCTTCAGCAACCAATCACAAGTCTGACCCTTAATCATTTTCATGATTCCAAATGTATAACCTTGAATGAAAACAGTGCTTTAATGGGAAAATGCGACGTGGGAGCTCAAAGCGGCACCCTGCATGGCAGGGAACACCATTTCCTCCTGGATGTGCGGATGACTTCCAAATCAATCACTACGTACAATTTTTGCGCCTGTACTGTATAGCTCTCCGATGCGTTCTCAGGTGGTGCCGCGTGTTGACGTCATTAAGTCCATGGACATCATGATAGACATAGTGTCGACATCATGATAGACACATCGTGTTGCCATCATGTTGTCCATGGACATCTTTATAGACATAGTGTTGACATCATGAAGTCCATGGACATCATTATAGACATAGTGTTGACATCATGAAGTCCATGGACATCATGATAGACACATCGTGTTGCCATCATGTTGTCCATGAATATTAAGATAGACATCGTGGTGGCATCATGTTGTCCACGATCGTGGTGACATCATGTGGTCTATGGACATCATGATGGACACATCGTGTTGCCATCATGTTGTCCATGGATATTATGATAGACATCGTGGTGGCATCATGTTGTCCACGATCGTGGTGACATCATGTGGTCTATGGACATCATGCTGGACACATCGTGTTGCCATCATGTTGTCCATGGATATTAAGATAGACATCGTGGTGGCATCATGTTGTCCACGATCGTGGTGACATCATGTGGTCTATGGACATCATGCTGGACACATCGCGTTGCCATCATGCTGTCTGATCACGGGCCCACGCCACTCACTGACGAGCTTGATGGGCCGCCCGTCGTCCAGGATGGTGTTGACTTCGCTGTTGCCGTAGGCGTTGACGACGTGGAAGGTGAAGAGGGGCCGGCGGCGTGGCGAGCGGAACGCCTGCTGCTGCTGCTGCTGCTGCTGCTTCTGCTGCTGCTGCTGCTGCTGCTGCTTCACCGCCACGTTGTCGTTGGCCGGCGCTGTGCGGCAGCGCTCGGTCTCCTCCTCGTTGTCGGCCGACTCGTCCGATTGGCTGTCCTCGTTCTCCGAGGGCAGCTCGCGGTCCATGCTCGACTCCTCCTCCTCCATGTCCACCTCTCCTGTGCAGCGCCCCCACGCCGACAAAGATCCCCCCCGGATAGCCTTAGCAGACTGTTGGGGCAAGTGCTGTCAGCCAGTGCTACGAAGGACGGCACGGCACACGACGGGGTGGGCGGCCAGCACCACGCCCGACCGCCTTTGTCTCCTCCTCAGTGGCGATGTTTACACACTGCACCGGGTACTCATTTGAGGCCGAGTCGACCTAGGGGAGACCCAAGACCCGTTCAGATAATCTTCACTGGTGTCGGCCGTGAGCGGAAATCGAACTCGGGTCGCCGGGTTCGTAGCGCAGCGTAGCGCTAACCGCTGCACCACCACTCCCCCCCAACACACACACGCCGCTTGTTTCTATTGTGCTCATGCTCCACCGCAGACTGTGGTCGTAACGGTGTGAACGGGGCGTTACATGCGGCTCCATATGTTTAAATGGTAATCCTAAAACACACATTACAATTTAGCTAAAGACCGCGCATTTCTATCGCAAAAAGGCTGACAATTTGGCCAGGCAAAACAAAAAACAGGCAACAACCACATCTAAAAAATACTCAATGCGGGGAAAAAAAAATGACAACTCTCAAATGTGAACACCTTGAAACATAGTCTGTACGAGAGGTTGTGGAAAACCTGAAACGAAAGGAAAAAAGCAATTAAATAATTCTCACTCAAGCCAGACTCTTGTGACCAACTCCAATGCATCGCATGCCACCGACATCGGAGAGGCAGCAGCAACTCTGTGTGTGTAAATGGGGGCTATCAATGTTCAAATGGGGGGGCGGGAGGCTGAATAGCGTTGATACACGAACCTCGCCCACCTTTTGAGACAGCGTTGCCAACGGTTACACCTACCGTTTTGACGAGAATAGCGCATGTTGTTGGCGTTATTCTGGTCGACGTAAAGCGGCCGGTCGTAGTGATCCTCGTCATCTTCCTCGTCGTCACTGGGCCTGTTCACGTACCTCCTGCGCGGACGAAACGCATTCTGCTTTAATGCCTGCGTGCCTTGTAGTTGTGCGAAAAAGGCACGCTGTGTTTTTTGTGTCAATGAGTTTTTTGTTCAGCGTCGACGCTACACACTACATGCATACACTCGTGATGCAATCCATTTTGACACAACTGATCTACTGCTTTTTTTCAACAAATAGCACGCAAATTTTTCTTTAAATAAACATCTGTCCTGGGCCTCCCCCTAAATGTACTAAATTTTAAACGTTAAACGTGTACCTGGCGTGGTACACGATTATGAGCAGAGAGGAGACAAATCACACTACGGTGCAGGTACAAATTCAACGTACGTACACATATACGTAGAAATGTGGCCAGGCGCAGCACTAGCACAGCACCCACTCGTGTGCCGTGCCGACTTTAATAGGCGCTCGCTAATGACACTTGTCCCCAACGGATCTGTGTCTTTGCGTACAGAAGTAGTCTCGAGGTTAGGCAACAATGCGCCGGGGGGACCACGGCGAGGAACGCGATGCGTGGGATTCGCTACTGACGCCATGTGGTCCAGCAGCATGTGGTAGAGGCGGCGGCACGTGGTGGAGCTCCGCGGCACGGAGATGAAGAGCGGCTGCCCGAAGAGCATGCCCGTGGACACGAGGTTGCAGTTGTAGCTGTTGTGACGGATGCGCTTCTCGCGGTGGTAGACTGGCAGCACCACCTGCTCGGGGTCGTCCTGCTTGCCGCCCGCCACCTCGTACCTGTGGCCACGCGCGACAGCGGGCGTCACGGCGATGGGCGTCACGGCGATGGGCGTCACGGCGATGGGCGTCACGGCGATGGGCGTCACGGCGATGGGCGTCACGGCGATGGGCGTCACGGCGATGGGCGTCACGGCGATGGGCGTCACGGCGATGGGCGTCACGGCGATGGGCGTCACGGCGATGGGCGTCACGGCGATGGGCGTCACGGCGATGGGCGTCACGGCGATGGGCGTCACGGCGATGGGCGTCACGGCGATGGGCGTCACGGCGATGGGCGTCACGGCGATGGGCGTCACGGCGATGGGCGTCACGGCGATGGGCGTCACGGCGATGGGCGTCACGGCGATGGACGTCACGGCAAAGGGCCTCACGGCAATGGGCGTCACGGCGATGGATGTCACGGCAATGGGCGTCACGGCAATGGGCGTCACGGCAATGGGCGTCACGGCGATGGACGTCACGGCGATGGGCGTCACGGCGATGAGCGTCACGGCGATGGGCGTCACGGCGATGAGCGTCACGGCGATGGGCGTCACGGCGATGGGCGTCACGGCGATGGGCGTCACGGCAATGGGCGTCACGGCAATGGGCGTCACGGCAATGGGCGTCACGGCAATGGGCGTCACGGCAATGGGCGTCACGGCAATGGGCGTCACGGCGATGGGCGTCACGGCGATGGGCGTCACGGCGATGGGCGTCACGGCGATGGGCGTCACGGCGATGGGCGTCACGGCAATGGGCGTCACGGCAATGGGCGTCACGGCAATGGGCGTCATGGCGATGGGCGTCACGGCGATGGGCGTCACGGCAATGGGCGTCATGGCGATGGATGTCACGACGGCAGTGTCATGACAGCGGGCATCACGATGGCGGAGTCACGATGGCCTCCTGTATACCGGGTAAACCCCACTGGGCTGCGTAGCTCTTTTTCAGAAGCGACCTGGCTATCGCAAGTGATAGCTCAACGAAGCGGCTTACGTGGAAATCTACAGCAGCCAAATACTCTGAAAGCAAGTTGATTCTAAATGTGGAGGGAAAAACTGCGGGACCCAAAGAAAAACCCACGCGAACACCGAGAGAACACACAAACTCCAAATATACAGGGTCGGGATTGAACCCACGACCTCCTGTATACCAGGCGAGGTAGTTAACATCTCACCATCGCGGCCATGCTGACCAGATACCTTGGAGAAGGTGGAAATACACACACTCAATCCCATCACACGCGACCTGCCACTGGGTGGACAGAGGCCGGAGAATTAAAAAAGACGTGCCCATTGTTTCAACTGCCATGCCAGAAGATTCAATTCAACCGGGGACCACTGATTTAGAATTCCACATATAATCAATTCGCTGGCATGGTATTAATTTCAGGAGCTAGAGATCGTTATTTAGGACTCTTTTGTAGATACATTTTTTTAATAAAATGTACAAGGAGTTTTTTTATGAAATGTGTTTAACTTTACCAGTGATATATTATACAATTTCAAAAGATTCCCAATGAATGAGTGGAGTAATTTATTTCGGCACGAGACGGAGTTACATTAAAATGTATAACTTGACCTGCATTGTGTGTAAAGTACATTAGGAGATAAGAGAACACAGTGTTTGTACATTATTAAAGTGTGTCCTTTCAGCGTAAATTTTAACGAGATTGATTAACGGGCACAAACAGTATAAAGACGTTCTGCTTTAACGCTGACAACATAGCCCAATGTGGCACTTGCTGTTGCAATTACAGGCACAGTGCAGAGGGAAATACACGATACAAATCTTCTACTTTCATTATATTCCCACGCCAAGTATCTCTTTTTTTCTAAATCAGCCAGCATGCTTGTGTAACAACTCCGGACTGGAGCTGCAGAGGCTTCTTGCATTGCACGTCATGTAGCTTCGGACCACGTCGTCATCAGATAATGCCGACGTGGAGATCGTACGCCCGAGCAGCCAGTGACGACGTGAACACAGTGACGACGGACCAAGTCCCTCTCGACAGCCCCAAACTTCCCTTCCTGTTCTGCTTTTATCCTCGTGGATTCTCTGGGGGAATTTTCCCAGCCGTCTACTTTGGACACTCTGGGGAATTCCCCAATCAAGGACACTCTGGGGAATTTCCCAACCAAGATCTTCCAATCTTGCTGACGCCTTGTCTCTGCATCCAGCCTCGCTGACACCCTGTCTTCACATCGAGACTTTCTGACAGACTTTACACTTGCAACAAAATTGATTTGTTCCTTTAGCGTAAATTTAAGTGAAATTCGTAAAAAAATGCAAGCCTGCACTCCTGTTGTAAAACTAATTTTTTCTCACATTTTGAAGCGTCGTTTCTACTGTACGCCACCGTGGAAACGTGGAGACTTCTCGTGGCTCGTAATATTGGGTTAGATCGCACGAATATAAGTGTGTCGTTAACCCACCACCACCCGACACAGCCAATTAGTAAGGTTTGTCACGTCAATGAAACATGCCAATTAGTTACTAGTTCAGTTCACCAATTCCGGCAAATCACCTGATGAGGATGCTTGTAATCATCAGCGAAACGTCGTACTCAAATTGTAAACGTTGTGGGTTTACATTCCAACACAACGGGGTGGGCTGAACGAGTAACTAATTGACACGTTTTGTTTACGTGACAAACCTTTCTAATTGGCCGTGTCGCAGGGCGGTGGGTTGACGACACATTTATATTTACGCAATCTAACCCCAAGAAAACCTTTATTATGAATAATATTTGTCGCGAAAGCCTACCTGTGGCTGCAAAATATTGACCCCTGTGAGTGACACGGGACTGGCAGGCACCGTGGTTCTCCATCGATAAAGACAGCAGAACGACCATCGTCCTCTGGGAATAAATTAAGCCAGGGGATCTTAACGTCCAGTCAACGGGAGGTACCATTCGATGATAATTTATTCGATAAATTACTGGGTGGCTACTGAATCAGATCCCGACCACAAGTACAAATTGGCTCGAAAGCAACGTTATTAAAACGAGGTAATTGTAATTTAATATAGCATTCAAGGGGGGTTTTGAATGCATTCTTTTAGTACATGGTATATATTTATGTTATGCTAAAATATCTAAAACAGGAATGTATCGCCTGTATTACGGTACCCAATGTGGTAATCTAAAGGCTGGCATGAGTAATAAACCAGCCTTGTTAATAATGATGAGATTACGGCTCAGCAGAGCCCATCAGTGTACCGTATGTGCTGCTACACCCACGACTGTGAACTATACATTGATAACCCTCTTCCCAAAACTATACGCACTGAGAGAAAAGCAAGAGTGAGACGAACATCTGCAAGTCAATTGGATGAGTCCAACACCATCCTCTCCGAGGTGGTGCATTGCGAGCTACGAGAGATTCCGAACGGACATTTGTCTTGTTATACCGACTCTGATGGCACAATTTAAACTGTGAAGAGAGAAAAAAATGTTAAACAGGAATGTACGGGTGGTGGAGGGTTATGACACATTTATAAATAACGCCATCTAACCCAAAAACCTTTATTGTGAATAAAATTGGTCGCGAAAGCCTACGTGTTAAACTGATCAGTTGTAATGTTTACATCTTATCATTCTCAGCGCCGAGGATCCCTCCTGCACACGCTTGATAAATGACTTGGTTTAGGATGCTCACACACACACACACGTGAACGCCGGTTGTTGAAAGACAACAAAAGCCACGAAAGGAGATGCTTACACAAATATGTCGTCTCTCTCGAGAATGTTGTTTAGCTTCTCGTCCATTTGGAAGATCTTGTGAAACCTGTGGTTGTAAACATCTGCCACGACCATCTGCGAAGAAAGATCACGTTCGCACCATCACCGGAGACCTTTGCTTCACGTCAAAGGCGTACCGGGGGACATGGAAATCGATATTCAGCTCGCCTTACATTACGGAACAAAGAACCATTCAAAAGCAGAAGAATCTAAATTACATTCGGAGATAAAGCCGTACGTATTATTAGAGTTTAACCATACTTCACTATGCAGGTCAGTGTACGGTGATAAAGGAGACGGGCGCGGACCCCGGCCACGTTACGTGACAGGACGAGCGACGGTACAAACCGCCTGCGTTGTGATTAATAACACCGAATATTTTAACGAGGGTCTTGTTAGCAACACGGCAGGTGGGTCGACGGCAGCAGTGATGCGAGACGCGCGGGCCCTCACCTTGTGCGCGGGGACACCGGAGAGCTTGGAGAGGGCCACGCACAGGTCGGAAATCTGACCCGACTTGGGCACGGTCACTTTGTACTGCGGGGCACGCAGCATCGGAGCGCACACAGCACAACACGCCACGCACGTTCCGATCCACGGGCGCAAACAAAACAAAAACATTCTCAACGCACTTCATCTTTGCGGACAGCGCGCAGACCGGGTTAAGGTGAACGGGAGAGAGAAAAAAAAAATGCATCACGGCAACAAACGCAGGTTTACGTCGGGGGATTGCGTTCCCGAAACGTCGATAAAAGCGCTCTACATGGGGCAGGTGGTGGAGGTGAACGCTGAGAGGCGACGGATAACGAGAAAGGATGGGCGATGCCATCAGCGTTGCGTTCTCGTCGGCACGACAGAGCTCACCTGCGTGGGTTTTGACCGCGGGTCCATGCATATCAGGAACACCTCCATGTTCCTCTCCTTCTTCATGGGTAGCGGAAGGGTGAGGTAGCAGAACGGGTCGAAGGTCACGGACACCTTTGAGCACTCGGGGCAAACGAGCGTGGACTTGAAGAGGCCGTGGAAGATGTCCACAATGATGGAATTGTTCCTCTTCTGGTGGTTCTCCCAGGCCTCGCGCGCCACCACCTGCGGGAACAACTTGTAACTATTTAAAACTATTTCTATTTTACCTGGTAAGGCTCACAGCGCGATACAGCTCCTCTTTCAGAAGCAACCTGGCGCACAAATGATATACTCGACGATGTGGCTAAGCATGTAGACATTTAGAACAGTCAAATACTCTCAAATGCATGCGGATTCTAAATGTGGATTAAAAAAAAAAACAGAGGACCCGGAGGAAAATCCACGCGACCACGGGGAGAGACACATGCAAACTCAAAATATACAGGTGTCAGGGTCGGGATGGAACCCATGACATCCTGTATACCAGGCAAAGTAGTTAACATCTCGCCACCGTGGCACAAGTGTACGAGCAGCAGCTATGACTGCTGGCAATCCAGATGGCTACCAACAGACATGAGCTCACCCATCTTTTATTCCAGCAAGGAGACCGATATTTTTTATTTGATTCGACTAATTACACAAGCGCAGTTGTTACTGGATAAGTCAATCGATGTGTCTACACCGATGGCAAATACGGTATGTTTTAAATATATTTTTTTACGCTTGTTTTAAACAAACAAAAAAATCAAGTTTAGCATTACACAGAAAGATCGATCAACATCACATGAGCCAAATGAATCAGGGATTTAGCACTGGATGAGTCAACACAACTCCGTGTGGTACAGCTGGGACTCGAGAAATCATTTTTCCTGTAACCCATAATTCCATTACAGAAATCCACGTCAGCTAGTTTTTGAATCCAACTAATCAACAAATTGTTATATATATACGCACACGTTCCTTCGATTTGATTTGTTTTTATGTACGTGGGAAGACAATGGTGAACGATGAAGATACATTCAATGGGTTTACGGTTTCCAAACTACAACACAACAGAGAGGCACAGCCAGGGAGCACACACGTGCCACATTTCCACTACCACTGGGAAGCGGCCTCTCGGCACGGACATGAGAGAAACGCACATCTAACTTGCTGGGCACGAAGATAAGAGCAAGATACGGTTACGCACACATTATGCACTGCGTGCGGGTGGTTAATCGGCATGCGCGATAATGTGACTGTCGGATATGCGACGTAGTACTGTATTCCCTCGTCAGCCCTACCAGGGCCGGCCAGCCACCAGTTGGGTTCGGTAGCCAGACACGGCAGCTCGACTTCACCAGGGCGTTTCATGCTCCTCACCCGATTCAAACTCAGAACTGCAACCAAACAGAACTGGGCCGAGCCCGATCCCCAGAGGTCATGGAAATACAGCTCGGATCCCCCTTCTCCAGCGGCACATCTGATCCGAGCCATCGCAGGCCACCCAAGACACAAGTCGTTTTTTTTTCACCGCAGATTTGCCGTGCCGGGTCAGAACCCAGCATTGAAAGCAACCCTCGCGAGACACCGAAATCTGGCTCTGGCTCTGGCTCACGCGGTGCCACGTGCAGAGCCAACGGGACACTGCCGGGGGAGACATGACGTCACCGCGCCATCCGCACGACGCGTCTCGACACGTCGATCGCTCGACGACATTGGCGGGCGCCATGGCTCGGCTTCTGCGGCGACGGAGGAACTTTGTGCATCCCGAGCCAGCGCCGGGCAGGCTCGGCACGACCCCGGCGCGGTTCGAGTTGTGCGGCAGGGGGGGGAAAAAAAGGGGAAGGGCTACGCGAGCGGTCGGTGGCTGTGGCGGCGGTGGTGGCGGGGGAGGTGGCGAGCGGTGGCACCTCGTCGGGCCTCCCCTCCGCGTCCTTGAGCTCCACGTAGGGCTTGTTGAGGATGCGGTTGAGGTCCTCGTGCAGGCCGTCCAGCAGGAAGGCGAGCAGCTCCTGCGAGTCCTGCTGCTGGTAGCCCGAGAACTGCGGCGCAAACCTCCCCACCTGCGTCTGCAGTGGCCACAACGGGGGCACGCAACCGGCAATGGGGGAGGCTGGGCTGGGGCTGGGCTGGGCCGATGTCCACACACACCGTGGTCTCGCGTGATCCGCTTGTGCACTTACAATGGAGTTAGGGGGCTATTTTGACAATTTAGACTTTTATTAGAAAATCTTTGCATTGCAAGGCCAAATGTACTGTATACAATTGCAGCTATTGCACCTCCGATTAGCACGGTTGGCTACGTACGGTACGAAAGACGTTCAACATAGCTACATATCTATGGGACCTTTGTGCCAGCATCTAAAATTCTGAAAAATAAGAACAGGTATTACCCTGTATTCTTGGTTCTTTCGGTAAAGTCACGTAGAAGGGAAACAATAAAATAATATTACCCTTTCTGGCAATAAAACAGGTGTTAAGATGTTCAAACACCAAATAGACACCTTTTGCAAGGAATCAAGTTCGCATTAACCACACATACTTGTGGTGAACATGCAAACAAATATGCTCTGATAATAACCTATTCATATTTTTTAATACCTTCATACTTGCAAAAAGTTCCCATTTTGTCCACATAGCTGCTGGTGGAAGAACAAAGAACGGCAAAAAAACAATTGATTCCCAAATGGAATGCTGACCCTGAATCACGGGGATTTGTTGGACAAAGGGGGGGGGGGGGGGTCGAATCGTCACGTATCTATTGTTCACAGCACAAATGTCGACTCTTGTCGGCAAACATCTCGCCATAGCAGCGGCTTTGATCAGTGTTTTCACTGCGCAATGTTGCACGGACACTGGAGAACGTGGAACGGAGGCCCTGCGGGAGAGGGGAGGGTGACACTCCGGGTCACCTGCGCGCGCGAGCCCATGCTCACCTTGAAGGCGCGCGGGGTGACGTAGCTGTAGCGGCCGGACCAGATCTGCTTGGTGAGGTCGGCGTACGCCTTGGCGATCTCCCCCTTCATGCCCAGCGGATTCTCATTGTTCAGCTCGCTCACGTACTTGTTGTTGACGAAGTACTCGGTCAGCGGCGGGGTGTTGCTTAGGCACTGTGGGGCGGCAGTGGTGACTCGTCACATGATGCATAACAATGTGCCGCTCCGCTCCCCCCCGCATGCACATTCAATTCATGCGACCTCTTTCTCAGCATCAAAATAATGAATAAGATATAAGAATAGGCTTTACCCTTTCTGGAAATATTAATACTTTGATACAGTTTTTTTTTTTGGGTTAGAGCGCGTAAACATACAAATGTGTCGTTAACCTGCCACCACCCGACACGGCCAATTAGTAACGTTTGTCACGTAAACAGAACATGGCAATTCGTTACTAGTAAAGCACACCAGTGTGTTGGCTAGCCAAGCCAAGAGATGAGAAGGCAACTCCTGATCGGGATTTCAACAAATAACAATGCAATCAAGAGTCAAGAAAAGCTACTACTACGATGCTACCCTGTTGGTTTTCCAAGGAAGTAAAGTATTTAAAAATAACTAGTACAGTTATTTTCGTGATACTTTTTGCCATTTATTTTGCCATTACATTTATAATTCTACAAAGTGGCCACAATGTTTTGGGGACTAAAAACATGGAATTTCCACATTCCTATGGCAGGGATGATTAAGCACCCATGTCAATTTTGCATATCTTTCTGCAAAAAAAGTATTTTAACCATTCACACATTACAATGATATGTACCATGCCTGCCGGAATAACATTATGACAAAATATTGCCAACACTAATAAAACTTTCCAAGGTAGTGTTTTGCATTCTTTGGTTTAAACTAAAAAAATAATGGAAATGTCCTTACAAACATTTCCAAGATTCATGTTGTTTCAAAAAAACTGTAAAAATTTGGAGGGAGAAAATTTCCAATTAACAAACGTGGACTTATTTTCAGAGATGATTTGCAAAAAAAAATATTTTTTACAATAAATTGTGACTAATATTATATCCCAATAAACAAGCATGTGACTAATGGCGAGTGTGCAGTATGGTGAATGTGGTTCTGGTTGAAGAGAAACACCAATTAAATTGCATGGCTGCAATGGATGCTACAACATCAACTTGTCCCTCATATATTTTAAGAACACGGTATTAATTATATACTAACTTAACAAAAGCTGAATACCTGCATTGGTGAAAATTACTTTCACCAGGCTTATCTCAAACTCCCCATTATAAGGTAAAATACAGTGAGAATGCACACCTGTCAAACGATACGGTTTACCCATATTTTTGTACAGGGAAATTGAGTTTTCAGGTCCGTACGGCGTACAGCCGTTTCAATACGGACAAAACATTTTCTATTTGTTTGTGTTTCTCCCTTGTGATGGGACTTTAAAGGATGAACGTTGAGATTTATAAAGGGCACGGGGTGACCCATAAGGTCTCAATTGGTCTGTAATAAGGTAGGGCACTGATAAGGAGTTGACAGGTATGAACATGTAATAACTGAGAATATTAAGTCCACCCAAGGAAACTGTAAATTATAAACATCTCAATATATGCATAGATATACAGTAATAATGTTTGACCTTGATCAATCCACTGCTGGATGAAGACATCCCTAGTGCTGGAGAACATGGGATTGTTTTAATTTCAAGTTAAACTTGTTTCACCAAAAATAACTCAAGAGACGAGAGTAAATTGTGCCATCGCAAACTGTCTCAGACATCACTCACGATTAATGTTAGCTGTGGCAGGGAATACAACTTGGAATATGGGGTTTAAATGTGTTTATATAAATAAGACAACAACAACGAAGATTAGCATGCTGAAAGGGCCATTTCATAAATATACACATCGCAATTATATCAGAATCTGAATATTTATTTTTAGGAGAGGAATCTGATGAGCTATGCAGCTCTCTTCCACAGATGTCCTGTAGGGGCAGTACAGTTGGCCTTGCAATGTAAAGATTTTCGAATAAAAGCCTAAATTGAGATCGTAGCAAAAATTCATGAAAGCCTACGTGTTAAACGAAGCAAAAATGTCTATCCTCTCAAATAATTGCGGCAATGCAAAAAGAATGCAGACGGGATACGTACACAATAACATTGCGACAATGCAAAATAATTACAACTAGCCGCACCTCTGATTAGCATGGTTGGCTATGCACGGTGCGAAAGAAGTTAAACATACGTCCATACTGTATGATCCAAAAATATAAACACGATCCAAAACTATATACATGATCGTTCAAATAAACTTTCATTCTCACAAAAAACACAGTCTGATAAAAACAAAAAAAATATCCTGCAAATGCACTTTTCCACCACTGATAGCCTTGCAATTTCAGTATGAGGCTCGACAGAAAAGAATTTTCTATTATCTAATCCCATAGGAGAGCACGCGATGGAACAGCCAGGAAACGTTATTATTTCTTCCACAATACGTTTGAAGGCTCTATCACCAATTACTCAAGTTAACCTCAACCCTCCTTTCCATGGTGCGGATGAGTGGCCGGTGAACTTTCCACCAGTGCCAGGCTGTAATGGGCTATGTTCGGGTGCAGTGGTTGATAACTGGGCTGAGACCATCACACGATGTACACAGTACCCTTGGTAGGTTCATGTGGCGCAAAGCCAGAATAAAAGTAGTGCTGGCTCAGTATTCCAACGTGCTTTAAGCCCTTGTAATCCACGAGCCACCTTCAGCACGCAAAACCTTCAAACCTCATGTCAAGTTCACCTTCCCCGTTGTAACACTGCCAGTCGTGCAAGTGCAAAGAAAAATACATTATCGAGTGAAACGGCACCTATTGATGCAAACATCAACGACACTTGAGACCGATGTGAAGAGGAAAATTCTGTGCGTGCGCTCACCATGCGTGCATTGAAACATGCGTGGCAAAATTCCGTAATTTACGATCCATAGAAATAATTATTAAAACGTCACATTATAGGAAATGGAGCAAACGGTTCCAAAAAAAAGGAAAAAAATAAGGCGACGATACAAATGTGTGGTTTGAACCTCACAAAAAAAAGTGATTCTTGAATGGAATTACGACCCAGAATTGTGACAATTCACAATATTGCGCAAGGAGCGGATGGGGGGTAAAACCACTGCATGCACACTTGATTGCCTACAGTTATATACAAGTGCAGCCGTTTTGATCAAATTCACTGCTGGATGGCGGCCTTCCCACACATTGCAGGTCAGCAGGGGTTGGTGAGGGCAGAGATCATAGACCAGGGGGTTTAGTACAGTAGTACATCGACGGATTTTGCTACACCGCCCCCCTCTATTGCCCACAACGTAGCCCAGCAGCAGCAGCAGCGGCGGCAGCCTCTAATGGAGAACTTGCCCTAAGCACGGTGGTCGTCCATCCTCTCACGAGTGGTGAGTATTCATCTATTCACCACGGCCATGTGGTGTCGCGCACGGTGCACACTGGCAACAACAACTCCCGACGTTCGCCACCAAGCGGCGATTGTTTTGCTGCGATAAATTTAGACGTGGTGAACCACTTTGTTGAGCTGTCGTTTGCGGCTGGGTGACTTCTGCAAAAGAAGCTAATATCTCAGTGGGCTTCACCTGGTATGATAAAACAAAATGGTTTATTTGTACTCTTTGGTTCTATTCGGTCAAGTCACATATAGAACCAAAGAGCATGGATCCTTGTAGTCACGAAAGCTTCAAATCTAGAATTGGTGTATTTGTATTTGTATATATTCTTAGGTGATTTGCTTACCTTTTCGATACTTTGCACTCCGACGTTCTGACCCACCCCTACTGCATATCTGTGTAAAAGAGCTTTATAGCTCATCGGATTCCTCCAATATAAATATTCTGATTCTGACTACGGTGCTTGTGCCAGGCAAGGTGCGCCGTGATGCCAAGCCAAGGTGCCGAAAGGCTCCCGGGCAGGTCACGTGGCAGTCCCAAGCGTGACAGGTTCACTACACCTGAGATGGGCTGGCACATAGGAGGCGACAAGAGAGCGCGTGCACACCTGTATGGCGGAGTTCATGAAGCAGGTGTTGCCCAAGTTGCTGAGTCCGCAGAGTCCGGGCTGCGAGGTCCCGCGGCCGGGCTCCCTGTAGTCGTAGGAGCTGTAGCCGTAGCTGTTGTAGCCACTGCTGGAGCTGAGGCACAACGAAACGCTCACACAACCCGGGCACTTGACGCTTCGCCAGCCACGCAAGGCTCCCGTGAATTAAGTGTTTTCAATCATGCGGTTTAAGCAAAATGAACCATTACATGGAGAAGGCATCACTTACTTCGAAATGTGCATGCAAAGCAATACTTATTGAATAGCACACCAATACGAATGTAGGTGTGGGAATGGGGAAAAAATGTACAAATCCAAAATGAGAATGATCCATGTAGCCCATTATTCAGATAATAAAATACGTAAAAAGTGGCCTGCATTAATGTTCGATCTAGTCTTACTTATCTTAGTCATGTGAATATGTAAATGTACATTTAACATCGCACAATGAAAATGTTTTGTTCATCAAAAACTTCCACTTCTTCAAACCTTGCGCCATTTGGAAAGACGGGAAAATGACCTCAAAGTTTAAATTAACCTCCGTTTCCTTATTGTTTGAGTCAAAGAAATGTACACAAAGTTAAAACGTTTCTGAACATCTCTTGACTACCCTCATGAATGACTTGCATTCAAGCCTAGCCCAATATCCCATTCTCACGCCACTAGTAGAACATCTCACACCACTCGCAAACCATACTGAACTATTTTTTTTATTTTACCAGGTAAGGCCGACTAAGCTATACAGCTCTTTTTCAGAAGCAACCTAGCCACCACAAATGATAGCTAAACCAAGTGGGCGTATCACCTGGAAGCTCATGGCAGTCAAATACTCTAAATGAGTCTAAATGTGGATGGAAAACCCGGAGGACCCAGAGAAAAAATCCACGCGACCACGGGGAGAAAGACAAATATACAGACGTCGGAAACGAACCCAAGACCTCCTGTGTACCAAGCGAGGTAGTTAAAATCTTGCCACCGTGGCGTCCCTGATGGCAGAATGTTAACATTGATTGCATTTCAACAGCACTATAGGTGTACAGGAATTGAGACACCCGTGAGTTCAGAGCTGATTTGCATGCACAAGAGAGCTACAATCGGCCCATCCATTCATCCAATGGCCGCGAAAAATATAGAATGCAAAAGAGGTCACACTGTACACGCTGAGTTTCAATTTCAGCTAAAGGCCGAGCATCCTATCAATAAATGTCTCAACCAGCGTCATCAAAACCAACTCGCGTGGATATTCATACAATTTTTGTGTGTGTGTACATATAACTGGTCGTACTTTCGAATTTAATCCATGAAATACCTCAATAAAACAATGTCGCTTGAGCACGTGAATGCCGATTGATATGCATTACCGTATTAACATTTTGACAGCTAATGAATATGTAGAGTGGAAACACGGCCAAACTCACAACATATACTGTTTTAACATTATGAGACCTCCTTTGCCAGTAACAAGATATAGAAATAGGTTTTACCCCTTTTAACTGGCACAAAAACTGACACCTCTATTCAAGGCATCATGTTTGCAATAACCACAACACAAGCAGTCAAAATGTTTAAAGGGATTAAACCTATTTCTATATACTGTTTTGTGCATTTGCTCTTAATACAATCAGGAGGAAAATGTATGTGAATAACAAAAAGACGGTCCGATTTTTTTTGCAATGTATTTACAGATTTTCTTAATTGGAATGTGGTAACCAGTTCACGATGACCTACCACTTCAAAATATAATTGGTTTAAATGTCAACTTTAACACAAAAGCGTAGTACTATGAATTATCCTTAAGAGGCCAGTTAGATGATAATGCCAGACAAAAACCGTAATCTACATTTGCGGAAACTGCCTTGGTCACAAGCATGCTAAACACATGCAATCCACCTAATGCAAGGGACATTTTCGAAAGGGTCATCCCACTACCGACGGGGCACTGCTGAATCATGAGGGTGATGGGGTTAGATGGAACTAATCATATTGACCTCGAAGTCACAGTGCTCAGCCTAATAATAAAGAATCGCCGTGTGTTTAGAAGTATTTGGCTGCTATAGATTTCCACGTGATAATCCACTTCGTTGAGCTATCACTTGTGGCCAGTCACTTCTGAAAAAGAGCTATACAGCTCAGTGGGCCTTACCTGGTAAAAAATAAAAAAATAGTTCAGTTGAATAGTTCAGTAAAGCGCTTAGACCAGGCACTATGGGTTAACTTCCAGTGGTTATTCAATAGGCCTCAAGCTGAAAACCACGCACATCTGACACCTGCCCATTGAACATGTTCTCAAGAGCCTAGTTTGTTGTGTTAATAAAGTGGCCGCAAGGGGGACACTTTTGTAAGCTCCACGTACAAATCCTGCAAATTAAGAGTTCACTAATTTTGAGGAAGGTAAAGTTATTCTACGTACGTCATAAGACTGTCAAGCAGGCCAGGAGTATTGGTGCCCATCTGCTATCCGGTGCTTTGGGAGGACCGGTTGGTTGATGTGAGTTGACACCGAAATGACAGCACAGCAAATAGCTTGTTGCACCCATGTGCAGACGTTGCAGTCTTGTCTCAGTGTGCATGGTTGTTCTTAGGCGACTCGTGTTCCCCACATGAAGAACACTCATTGACCAAGAACTGGACAAAAGAATGGCAATGGAGGAGCATCCTGAATAAGTCTTGGTAATCTCTGTGAGGCTCTTCGAGACAAATAAGCCTGTATGATCTCACTTTGAACATTTATGGTTGACAAGTAAATGTAATAACCTTTTTGTCAAGTACAATTCTTGTAGGATGTATTTTATTGTTAACTTTGAAGCTTTAAATATAGGAGCCTGCACAGCAAGATCAGAACCTCCGATTAAGCATGGCTGGCTATGTACAGTGCGAACGAAGTTCATCATACATACATGACTTTACAACAGGGGCAAGAGGAAACAGCTGAGGCTGACAACTACCCATGCATTCATTACATCTTGAATTGGGAAGGTGAGGTATCCACAAATAAACAAATGAAGGGAGAATTAACTCCTGACAAGTCAGATTATTGACACCAAAAACAGAAAAGTGATCAATCTTTAAATACATGTTTCCACAATTGTTTACATCGTCAGATGCCATTTAAATGTTTAGGGTTTTTTTTTTACCCAGGAAAGCCTCAACTCTTTTTCAGCAGGGTCCTGTCGCGTTTTCCATTTGGGGGGGGTAGGGCGATGCTGCCGTGTGATGTCCTAATGAGTAATGAGCAGGAAGTTTTTTTGTCATTGGGATGCTTGACCAATTCCAGTTACGTTGTCCGTTATATATTCGCTACGAGCGGACACCGCAGCACCCAGAGAAAACCCACGCAGGACAGGGGGAATCGCATACAAGCTCCACACAGATGGGTGCCCGAGTCAGGAATCGAACCCAGGCCCCTCTTAATGTGAGGCACAAGTGTTACCGCTGCGCCACACAGCCACGCATAAATTGGGTGCATTCGCATAGCTCCGATTACATTCCCTTGACAGACTGTCATGCTAAAATCATGCAGTTATTTTCTGCTGTAAACACACTCGCTTAGCTGTTTACTTGGCTACGCAATTCATCTTGTTTTACCAGGTGGCCGGGAAATGACAGGAGGTTACAGGCTCACTGATTGAGAAAGGCATTCACTGCCACCGTAATATTTAAGTCTTATGGTAGACAAACAAAAAATGCCATTCACAATGTCAGCCTTTCCATTAAAGCATTTTTCTGGAATGGCTGCTCATGTTATTTTTTTTTACTTTACTTTGAATTTTCCCACAATCCGTGCATTTCAACCTGTTTTAGGTTCACTCTACATCACAAACATCATTATAATGTACGATTACAAAATGTTGATATTACCAGCCTTTTCCTGACATCCTTCAAGAGTCCATCATACTTCAAGCACTGTACTATTCTACTGAGCCAGGCGAACACATGTGGAAGCTGTGTTGATCCGCTCACACACCAAGTTATGCAGTTAAAACTGCCCGTGATGGGACTTTCCTGTGGATTCATTTGTGAGAAAAGGACGATATCAAAACCTGTTCCACTTGATAGCAAGTTCCTACCCTGGGTTAAGGCTCAAATCCAGGAAGTAAGCGCCGCTAAGTCCGTACCGAGACAAAGGAATTATAGAGCATTAGCCCCTCGAGTCACTCGGCCACCTCGAAGGTCAGAGAACCCACGACAAGATGCAGGAGGTGCGACGATGCACCGAGGGGCAAAGCAGTGGTGTAGGGCATCAAAACAAATGGCGCAGACTTACGTTCGGCCGTAGCCAGAAGAATAGGTGCTGGAGCCAATGGCAAGAGAAGAGGAAGCAGAAGAGAGGCCTGGGGAGGTGGGGAAGCTGCCACTTGTGCCGCTGCTGGCTCTGCCAAAGGCAACGCGACACCAGCACAAGGGAACAGAGACAGCAGATGCCCTCAGGGCCCAGGCTTCGATGAGCAGAGAAGGCCTTACAGTGTTGCGAGGTGATGCTATGATATATATCGTACGATATCAGATCCACGATAATCGTACCATCGGTTTTGCAAGATGTCGTCATGTTGTGATAGTTTTTAAATGACACACTCAAAAAACGATTTACTGAATAAAATCTATTCTATGTAAATGAGCGATGTGCATAATAATTTCTGGAGTAAATGACAGCCCGGCGGCAATAGGACATCGTAACTTTGGTAAATCTTCAATTACTTAGGTATCGTGGAACCGACAGCTTGGGCATTTGTGTTATAGATAGTAAAGTTGGATTTATTGGAAGACTTATGGCAGGCTAATGCAGTTGAAAAACTGTTAATTAATAATGATGTGTACTGGAAGTACAGCACAGGATAAAAACAATGCAATGAAAATGTAAAACACAATTACAATGGTATGGGAAACTGATAAAATAATAGGGCATGTCGTGAAAAATGTTATCGCGGCAATCCGACACTGAATAAAGAGGCGTAACTATGTTTACTATTACAGCGTCACAAGAGTGACCACTCTTACAGTGTGACAGTAGTGCTATGGAGGCAAGAGGTGCACAACGTATAATCCGTGGATCAGATCAATTAGGGAAGGAAAGTGCATTTACTGAGCCCACAATAAGTTCAATAATCATGAAATGTGGCACCGAAGTTGCATTTGTACGGGAATACTGTAAACATTACATCAGAGACTGATACAACCGAAGAACAATCACCCACCTGGTCGAAGAGACTGTGCACACCTGCATTGAGGAAATACCAGATGTGTTTCCAAAAGGTAATTTTTCTATATATTTGGGCCAGATTTACACTTCGATGAAATGGGCAAAACACACCACATGGGCAATTTTCCGATTGCTGGTGACGAAGACATTGGAATGCTCTTTTTGAACACAGATAAGAAGAACAGACAGTACAAATAACAGATCTATTACCTGCAGTTAACACGGGATCATAAAAGACTTGAGGATGTGACAACGTCAGATTCGTTATAGAATTTTTTAAAAATGCATTGAATCTCTGGAGCTTATCTTATTAATTTATATATTTATGAGACATTAAGTTAAATTAAAAATATTGCAATGAAAATAGTATTACTGGAGCATAACAGATCCTATTGCGCATACATTTTCCTAAAGATCGATCAAGGAACACTGAACATTTCTTGTGGAGTAACCAAACGTAGAGTTTACAATTATCGTAACTGCTCTGAGCACACCAACAAACACGTGTGCCTACGAGTAGCAGAGGCTTAGCAAAAATTATCCACAATATTAAACGCAACCCATCACAGCTCAATCACCAAATGTCAGAAAACTGTCACTTTAACGGTAATTCCAAATTTAAAAAGTAGAGAGTCAATATCCCCGCGCAAGTAGCCTTGTCTCTTGGGAACAAAAAATAATGAATCTTAGTGAAATAATGTGAGTAACATCAGGTCATGTAAAAAGATTTGTTTTGTAAGACAATATTTCTAGATACGAAAAATGAAAAGCTGTGTCAACATTGATTGGAAGGAGGAATAACAAAAACACCGTTCATACTTTTAAGGAACAAAAACTGGTTACATCTAACTTCTTCAACTACATATTGCAGCTATTTTATGAGCAATTGAAAAAGAAAAGATAACCAAATGATAATCCCACTGCTTGGCATCTGTAAGCAGACTGTCAGCCATTAAGGTATATCACGCTTGATGATACAAAGCGGCGCACAGCAGTAGCTGGAAGCTTTTCCGGCAAATTGGACTGTCCATAGCACCCAGCTGAGTTTTGCATGGGATTACCATAAGCAGACGGGAGGATGTGCAGTGTGAAGGTTAACTACGAACGATTTAAAACTATTGTTTATTGTACCAGGTAAGGCCCACTGAGCTATGTAGCTCTTTTTCAGAAGAGAGCCTGGCTGTCGCAAATGATAGCTCAACCAAGTGGTTTATCACGTGGACATTTATAGCAGCCAAATACTCTAAACTGGTGATGTTGATTCTAAACGTGGAGGGGAAAACCGGAGGAGCCAGAGAAAAATCGACACGACCACCAAGGGGAGAACGTGCAAACTCCAACCATACAGCAGGCGTCAGTGCTGGGATCGAACCCACGACCTCCTGTATACCAGGCGAGGTAGATAACATCTCGCCAGGGAGGTGCCCACATACACTACGGGATTAAACTGTTAAAAACACATTCTATGGCATTAAGCTGGAGCCATTAGCGCTGTTACAATCGAGATAATTACCTGTTATAAACAATAATTAATCATTTACAGCCTTGTGCCAATCCACTGCTGGATTAAGGTCTCTCCACACTGTGCAATAATGGGGGTCGTTTGACCATACTTCACCAGACTGAACAGTGCAGGTTGGTGAAAGGGGGCCCAGGACTGATTCAGAGATTACTCACCACTGATGTGAGCCATGGCCACAACGCCGGGTTCACAGAACAGTGCGCTAAACCACTAATCCCGTTTAACACGTGGGTGACCAATATCATCCATAATTTAGGTTTTTTGGGGGTTAGATCGTGTAAAAATGTGTAGTTAAACCCGCCACCACCCAACACAGCCAATTAGTAAGGTTTGTCACATAAACACAACGTGCCAATTCGTGACTAGTACAGCACACCGGTGTGTTGGAGGGCAAAGTCACACCATTTACAATCTATTCCCATTTACACAGGAACAACAACAACAACACAAAGATATGTCTAGATGTTCTACGGTTTAGGTTGTGGGGTATATAAGAAGAATGAGTCGAGGGAAAAACTTTTTTGACACGTCACATATTTCCATGTGAGAATGTGAAGCAGGAACCAAATCGGCAGAATGAACGTGCGTGGAACACAATCGATCAAACGGAATGGAGAAGGAATTTTGGATGCCACCACTGGTACAGAGCGTTCCAGACAGTGGCAGCAAGAACACTGCAATGGCTCAACCATGCGTATACCGACGAGAGACAGCAAAGGCGGTTAAACAAGACAGAGGCAGGTGGAGACGGTAAATCGAAAACCAATGGGAGGACCTGAGGGCTTGAGTAATTCTTAAAAATCACGGATTAATAACAATCACAGGTTTTACTTAAAGGCATTCATATAACGAAATTTCCATAAACTTTTGTTGTTGTCGCTAAGTCCAAAAAGGCATTGCAAGAAATACAAGTAATATTTAAAAATACCTTTTTAAAAACACGCTTTAATGAAATGCACCGTACTCGTAATGGCAAAACTCCACGACTCCAGGAAGTGGCCCCGAAGCTTGCCACAACGTAACGGTCCGTGGTGATTTACAGCCAACGTCAGTTCAGCGTGGACTATTAGACCCAAGCCGAAACATAACATATAAAAAAGATGGTTTAAAATGTTTTCATTTTATTTTTAATGATAGAATGTAGTAATGTCATCAGTATGACACAAGCATACCAAGTTTGCAGTCGATACCACAAAGGGAAGTGGGTTAAAATTGAGTTACAAGATTTGAGGATACAACAACAACAGAGTGAACTTCGATTTAAAGCTTTCGTGACTGCAGGGATTCATCTTCTTGGTTCTTTAGCTAAAGTCACCACGTAGAATGGAAACAAAGTAATAAAAATAAAACATAATAAAATAAAATTCTCACGACGTTTCGGCCACAACACAGCGCTGTCGTCCCGACAGTTCAGTTCCTTCACCTGAAGAAGGCTACTTGTGGTTGTGGCCGAAACGTCGTGAGAATTTTATTTATTACGTTTTATTTTTATTACTTTGTTTCCATTCTACGTGGTGACTTTACCGAAAGAACCAAGAAGAAGAAGGAGAACAACAGAGCGAGTGAAATAAAAGCGCGTAACAAATTAATCACATTTCTGCGAGAAGATGAACCACGAAAGTTTCAAGAAACACGCGGCCACAAGAGTGAAGCAGCAAAGCAACGGTCTCTGCTGATGATGCTGCACCGTTTATGTACCGCAGACCAGAGTGTGGATTTACTTTCCCCGCATTACTATGCAAAAGGCGGCGTTTTTTCTTCTTTCCTCCCAAATGCCAGTGGGCAAAAGGTCCTACAGCGATCAAGCATCCCTAGTCACCAACAATCCGAATGCATCAGAAGCTCAATAGATCGCCAGGGCAGGGGCTGAGACGGTGGTGCACCCGGAGCAATTAAGCGCGGGACAGAGGCTCCTCGCGAGATGAAGACAATCACGTTCACGTTCGGGTTGTGTTGAGAAGAACTGTGGATATGTATTGATTTAAACAAGACTCAACATATTCTTAGTTATTTCGGTAAAGTCACGTTGAAGGCAAACAACAAAATAATAGAATATATATAAAACAATAAAAAATTCTCACGACGTTTCGACCATAACACAAACGGTCGTCTTCAGGTGTGTTTGTGTTATGGTCGAAACGTCGTGAGAATTTTTATTGTTTTATATATATTTTATTATTTTGTTGTTTCCCTTCAACGTGACTTTACCGAAAGAACTAAGAATATGAATTACTGCAGTCACGAAAGCTTTAAATCAAAATTTAAGACTCAACATATTTGGCGAAAAAACACGATGGCCTTGAAAGGAAATCACATACATAATAGGCGACGTTTTCGCGCAATGGCCCCTCGTTATGAGCACATACACAGAGGCCACGGAGATGAGGTAGATAAGAGACGGAGACTGCGCATTACACCAAGATGCTTGATGATAAATAATAGTGGCACTTGGTATGTGAGCAGCTGCTTGGACCTTCACTTGGTTCACTCAGCCTTAAAGGACTCATTTATTGAGAACTGCTATTTGTGTTTAGTTTGTTGTCCTTCCCCCGCACCTCCGATTAGAACGCTTGGCTACGTACGGTGTGAAAGAAGTTCAACGTACATACTACAGTGCGCAGGGTGTGAACATCAGCACTGGTGCATGGTATCACCGTAACACCACTCCTTAATGTGCCAGAATGATACCCCGATGCGTCATGCTGGCATTATCGGTGCTGACTAACAGCACCATTCCCCGCAGTCTAGAATGATAAATAGGCAATCCATTATCTTTATAGGTGCTATGCAAATAAAAACCCGTAGAAACAGGCCACGCACAGCACTCACACACTCACTCATCCACACAATGTATGAACAAGAATGCATAAAACTACACATAACGCAAGATATGTAGATCTACACATGAATAAAACGTTGCTGGTATTATCCAGAGCACATATAATACCAGCCACAATTGCAAGTACCTGTAAACTACATTTTCACATCCTATACCGGTGTTCAATAATAATAATGTGTGATAAGCCACGTAAAAAAATTAGCGTGTGCTGGTGGGCCTTGTGACTGATCTCACGCTTACAGACGTCACGAACGTCACGATGACGTCATGACGTCTATACATGTGACCCCTAATCCGCACCTCATCTCCAGGTCTTTCATCTCAATTACCAGTACTGTACCTCTTCACGTCCCGTTGAGCCGTATGTCTACACATTTGTTTAATTGTGGCGACAAAATAAAAAAATCATCAGTTAATTGAGGGTCTCCCAAAATCTAGTTCTCATGGACTCATCATGGTCTGTCTACCTTTGCACATTTGAACCCTATGGCGATACCCCAGGGTACTAAAGTACCCCGGCTCTCGCATAATGTCCGTGGTGCAGTAATTTTTAGTCTGCTGATGGTCGGCGATGCGGTAATCGACTCATCTCGACGAGCCGTACACGATGCACTGTTCAAAGTTAAAATTTTCGATAACGGATTTTGTGATGCTAATGTTTGGCGTTTCGACATCGCGGAGTGGCGCTGATTGCGGATTGATTGGTACCACAGTCACGGAGTGAAGTAACACCCCTGGAAAAAATAGTGTCCCAGAAATAAAATATTTAATTGCCTCGGACATTTAGTGTTATTTGGTACCCCGGGTTACCGCCATAAGGATCATTTACCAACCTTCTCATTCAAATCAAGTCGTTGCATGCGGCGAAACAATTCCATGTGACGTGAGAAATTAGGACCGCTCGCCATGTCACACGGGACACACACGTATGCCCTGAATATATCTACATACAAAGATCCCCCATATAGCCTTAACAGAGTGTCGGGGCAAGTGCTGTAAGCGAGCGTCCATGAAGGACGGAACGGCACACAAGAGGGGGCGTGTGGCCAGCACCACGCTCAACAAGTGGCGATGTTTACACACTGCAGCATCAGGTGTTCATTTGAGGCTGAGTCAACCTTGGGAAGCCCCAGGACCGGTTCAGGTAACTGTCACCGGTGTTGGCCGTGAGAAGGTATTGGGTTCGCCGGGTGCAGTGCAGCATGCTAACCACTCCACTACCACTCCCCACAAATCTATACACATCTACATACAAAGATAAAGATCCCCCATATAGCCTTAAGACTGTAGGGGCAAGTGCTGTTAGCGAGCACCTATGAAGGCCGGAACGGCACACGAGGGGGTGGGTGGCCAGCACCACGCCCGACCGCCTTTGTCTCCCCAGTGGCAATGTTTACACACCACACCAGGTACTCATTTGAGGCTGAGTCGACCTATCTATATACACACACTCTCACACATACAAAAGATCCATGTCAATATGAATCTGCACACTCCACACACATGTACACACATAACAGATCGCCTCTATATTACTTTGAATAACACTTTCTGTATCATTTGTTTCGTAATGGTCATGTGCATGCCTTATGTAAACACTTTTTTGGTATTTTAACAGTGAAGACTGGTGAACATGGAAAGGTACACTGCTGTGGGTGGTAACAACTCGAATCTCAAAAATCCTGGCATACATATGAGCACAACTGCTGACCTACAAAGGAGTTTATACAAAAGCCAACGCCACAGCGGCGCTCTGTCAGACGCACGCACGAGATAGATGCCATGCAACTGGCAAGCGGCCGGCACTCACTTGTTTGAGATAAACTGCCGTGGCCACGTTCCATCTTCATTTTTTTGTTCGATAATGAGCACCTGCAATGGCAATTAGGAGAGACAAATAAACACAAAGATCCCCCTCCACCCCGTGTGGCCTTGGCAGACTGTTGGGGCAAGTGCTGTTGGCAAGTAGCACCTACGAAGGCCGGCAATGTAAGCAAATGGGGGTGGGTGGCCAGCACTACGCCCGGTGGCCTCGGTCTCCCGTGTCGCGATGATGACACACCACACCAGGTGCTCATTTGAGGCCTAGTCGAACCTAGGAGAGGCCCAGGGACCGGTTTCAGATATCTGTCACCGATGTTGGCCATGAGCGGGAATCGAACTCGGGTCGCCGGGTTCGTAGCGCAGCGCGCTGTAACCGCTACACTACCGCTCCCCCAATTCGGGGTGAGACGCGCACACGCGCACACGCAGGGCCCATCGTTAATAACCAGTGTAGTCGGAGAGCGTGCCCCTGGACAAGCAGCCACTAGTCCACGCACACGACCAGGTAACACCCTCCACACGGCCAACGTGTACGCAAGGAAGCTGCTTCGCTAATCAAATTACACCGGGCATAGCCTGCATGAATGAGCTCGGCGAAACAGACCACGGGGGTTTGGTTGGTGGGTGGGAGGGGGGCAAAACAAGGTAACAATAGAATCATTAGCAATGGCTTAAATAGTAAAAATGCATGGCAAGTGGAAAAACAACATCGTCCGCTGTGCACGCCGTCACGGTGAAACAGCCGGCGATTTGAAAATGCACTGGCTGTAGTGCAGTGATGGCTTAATGTCTGCACTACCGTTTTTCCGGACATTTATTCACACGCGAGCACACTCTGCATGAAAACGAGGCTGTGGTAATCGTTATATATACACCTCAAAGGATGTTCTTTAAGTAGTAACTACCTCAGCTGCGGCACAAGTACGTGGAATTGTGCAAATGGTTAAATGTTGGGGCCCGTTTGTCCATCCGAAGCGGGAAGAGGGCCTCCCTAGTCCTGCGCCGAGCAGGCAGTGAGCGTCATACGAGCATCCACTTGACCACGCTGGTCATGGGACGCTATATAGCATTAAAACAAATACATTGGTTGCTGTGGTACACAACAAGAAAAAAAGCCCCAGCTCAGAATGTGTTTTGTCCACTCCCTTACTCATCACTAGTCACTGAAGTGAATCAATGGACACACATCACACTCATTACTGTAAAGCACCAGCCCTGCTGGGGCTGCTGACTCAACTTACGTTTTACAAGAAAGCCCTATTCACTCGGCGACACAACAGTGAGTAAGTAATCTTTTGTGGCAGGACGCGTAGGCTGGGAAGAACCCGGCTCCTCGGTGTGCAGTTAATGGAGACAGGGAGGGCATCACTCACTCTTACAGTCGTGTGGCTTAGCGGTTACGCCCACCCCCAGCAAGGATGGGTCACAAGAAAAAACTAGGCCCTGCACGAATCAATTGAGATCGATTCCTACATTCTCAATATATTCACAAGCTCCGAACTGCGCAAATGATACCTACGCTGATATTTAACTGCCCGTGACCAAATCACCCAGAAATATATCCGACGTTGTGAGCCCTCGGAAGCCGAGCAGGGTTGAGACCAGATGGTACTCTGGGTGGGTGACCACTGTGCAGAGAAACAGGCGTTACAGGCTACTGTTGGGTCACCTTGTGAGCAAGGGACAGTGCGGCAAAACTCCCGTCTTCACCAAACCGTGCCGATCCATGTGGTGACGTATGGCCAATTAACCGAACGACACAACCCTCATCCGGCAGCGGACTGACGCGTATAAATCTTTTAAGACCGATGGAAAGAACGAGAGAGAAACAAAATGGGACAGATAATACGGGACGCAAAAACAAGGACGCGAAAAAGAACGGATTTGTGGGACCACGATGGAATCGCCGGGAGGAATGGGGGAGGGGAATAGGGGGAGGGTGGACACTCGCCTGCCCCTGGCACAGGCCCGCGTCCTGAATGCTGCTGTCCAGTTTGTTGAGAGGCTCGTACGTGTTGGATGTATACTTGTTCCACAGCCGCGTTTCCTTGTCCTCGGGTATTTCAAACAGCTTCTTCATCTCCTTCTCAATCGTGTCTGTAAGGGCAAAAGGCGAATGTAAGAATGATGCAGCTGTGAGCTCTTTCGGTGCTTGCGCATGCCTTGCCTTGGACCAAAGTGGTTCCGTGCTTAACATTGAGACACAAATTACGGTAAATTTGTAGCCACCTTCTGATGACGCCCAGAACTGCCGAGACACCACGACAGAAGCATGCTGATGTGACATTAACCCATGTCCAAATCCATAACTGTCATATCTCAAGGCCTATTGGGGATTTCTCTTTAGATTTATTGTTCCAAAGCTCAGTCATCAATTATGGTATCGACGTTGTGTCGAGATATGCAGAAAATAATGTAAAGATTTTATTTTTTTGTAAAGTTGTCGGTAACTGAGCTAAATCCATCAACCCATTACTGCTGCCCGAGATTTTAACCCAGGAGCTGAGTTATTTCGACTCCTGAGCCACCCACCATGCCACCTCATGGGAAAAACTTCAACCTCAAGATATTCCACTTATCAATAAGATTATATTTGGTTAGCACTCGGTGGGTGGGGGGGTAGAACTTTCGATTTACGTTGGCAAGTTATCGAGTTCAAATCCTGATGGAATTGACTCAATATATCATCATAATCATAGCTCTGGGGGATCAATAAAATGAGTGATACTATTTGGTACTGTTAAACGGCATTCCTCCTAGGAATGTGGATTTGGCAGCGTGGACCTCATAATCTTTGTCAAAAGGAATGAGCACTGCAGCCCTGTTCATCAGAACTTGGAGAAACCCACTAATTTTTAAACAAGAAAGGATAGTGGACTTCATAATCAGAATCTTTATTTAAGACTAGAGGAATCCGATAACCTATGAAGCTCTTTATAACTCAGTTCTGTCTCTGCATATTTGTATAAATACAACATTTTGATTTAAAGCTTTCATGACTGCAGGGATTCATATTCTTGATTCTTTCGGTAAAGTCATGTAGAAGGGAAACAATAAAATAATAAAAACATATATAAAACAATACAATTCTTAAGACGTTTCGACTGCAACACAAGCAATCATCATCAGGTGTGAAAACCACAGCAAGAAAAGCCACCATAAGCATGAACAATCAATTAAGACCCGAAATGGTTTATCAAATCGTTCCCATGATTGCTAAGCCAGAATCCATCTTCTGGGTTGAAATTGTCTCTGTGTTTGTATATGTGGATAGACTCATGAACGAATCTCTCATGGTAGTCAGATGGCTTGCAAAGAACCTCTGTCTTGGAGAAGTCAATGTCATGTGAGCCTACTGAATTATAATAATGATCTGCTACGGCCGAGGTGTTGGTCCTACCGTGTTTAAGGTCTGCTTTGTGTTCACGAATGCGGTCCGAGACATGTCGTTTGGTTTCTCCAATGTAACTACTACCACAGAGGCAACTTAGTTTGTAGACGCCAGGAAACTGTATGTCCGGAATCACATCTTTTACAGACGGAACCAGATCACGGATTTTATGTAATGTGTTGAAACGGACCTGGATCTTGCGTTTATTCAAGATTTTGGAGATCTTTTTTGTGATCCCCGCAATGTAGGGTAAAGTAATGGTTTTGAAAGGCTCCTCAAGAGGGTCCTTCTTCATGGTTGGAGTGATAGCTTTGCAGATTGTGTAGTCGGAATAACCATTAGCCTTAAGAGCTTGGTGTACGTGCTTGAGTTCACTGGCTATGTGTTCCTGGTCGGATATGCATTTGGCTCTATGGTGCAGAGTCTTGATGAGGGAATTCTTCTGGGATGGAAGGTGGTGGGAATCCGGTTTCAGGTAAGCATCTGTATGGGTAGCTTTCCTGTAGACAGAGTGGCTCATTGAACCATCAGGTCTCTTTTTTATTAGGGCATCCAAAAAAGGTAGCTTGCTATCTTTTTCGACTTCCATGGTAAATCTGATGGCTGGGTGTATGGAATTGATGTGGTCGAAGAATTGGTCTAGAGCAGGCCGGCCATACGGCCAGATGACAAAAGTGTCATCCACGTACCTCTTCCATAAGGTTGGGCGTAGAGTGGCAGTCTGGATGGCGTCAGTCTCAAATTTGTCCATCAAAATGTTGGCTACAACCGGAGATAGGGGGGAGCCCATTGGGGTGCCCTCATCGTCACGGTGGCTAGGAGATGTTGTGTTGCAGTTGAAACGTCGTGAGAATTTTATTGTTTTATATATTTTTATTATTATTTTATTGTTTCCCTTCTACGTGACTTTACCGAAAGAACCAAGAATATAAATACAACATGTTTCAGTCTATCGCTCTTGCCTTTCCAGACCACAGTTACCCAGCAGCATTTGTTCAAGTACGCAAACTCTGAACCGGTTTAAATCTTCTAGGTCTCATCAGGAGTTAGGATTGTGATTCTATTAACTTCAACTCATCAGAATCTTTATTTAAGACTTGAGGAATCCGATGGGCTATGAAGCTCTTTTCCACCGTTGTCTAGTATGGCCAGTGAGTTCAGTGAGTAACAACAATATAAAAACGAAATATAAATGATATATTCATCGATTATATAAGTCCAATTTATCAAGCTTTTGGCAAGGACTTGGACAGAGCACAGTGCCACAAAGGGGCCTTGGTTGATGAAAACCAGTAGGGAGATGGTGGACAAGAGGGGGCAGGATATACCAACGATGAGAATAAATACAACAGGGCATATGTTTGGGTATCATGGACCGCAGCTGCAGAGGATGTGATAAGAAATTATTTATCCACCCAAAAAACAAAGTTAGTATTATCAAATTCAAGTGCATGTAACGTTAAGATAATCGTCACTTTACATGGAAAATGTTTAGCAAGCAACTTAGGTTTGCGTGGGTAGTAACAATGTTATTTTCCTGTATTGAAAGAACCTAAGATGAGAAGGTTAAATATGCAATGTTTGTAAAGGGTCTAAGCTTCTATTTGGACTTTTCGATGATAAAAAAAGAACTGTAATTGTACACCACTGCCAAGTACATATTATATACTCACTTGTTGCATTCCCTAGATTTCGAATTAGTGCATATTGTACCACATTCATTAGTCTTCTTGTAATTGAATTGTAAAGGTAAGACTTTATATCATTACCTGGATATTAAATCTAATACCTGCATGTGATACACAACTTCAACGAAATGACTTGATATAACATTAAAAATCATTCCACCTGGAATGAGTGATAACATTGGCACCAATTTACATCAAAATAATGCTTCCAATATGATACAATTCCAACATTACTTAGCTCTCCGAATTAATCAATGCCAACAGTGCCAGGCTTTGCTACAAATGTGTGTGGTGACCAGTTCGCACAGACTCAATGTGAATCACTAATGTCAAATTGAGGAGGACAGGTACATTGATTTGTTTAAATCTAGCCTAATTATACACGCAGAGAAAGCCACCAGAAGACAATGCATGCTGGGATGTTTTTTTTTTGTATGCATGTTGAACTTCGTCCGCGCCATACGTAGCCAACCGTGCTAATCGGAGGTAACGACAACAAAGTAGGAGTCTCCTTTTAAAAATTTGGAACGCACACAGAAACATGATGGGGCAGGTCTGGTTTACCGATCGTGTCGGCCTTGCTGAAATGCCGTGTGAAGCTGTTTTCCACGTCCCCATTTTCACATAGCTTCAGCTCCGTCAAGTACACCTCCACCTTGCAGTGCTTCACAAACATGCCGTGTTCCACCACCTGGAAGACAAGCCAGCAGCATGGACTTGTCACCACAACCTCTAACGTTCGCGAAGGAACCACAGCGGAGCAACACGGGCTATATTCATTGCAGTAAACATTTAAAATGAAACATCTCCCAGCTCGTAGAAAGAACGTGGTTGTTGCTCATCCTTGATGACCGCCCTGAGTGGTGCCTGCAATTCTACATTTCCATGACATTGGGATGTTTGAGATGTTTGGTCAATTTCTTAAAAAAAGTGTTTTCTATTTTATAAATGTCTCTTATAAAAAGGGTCACCTTGAAACCCAAAGGAATATATATCATCATCATCATCACGACCCATGAGCAGATAGCCCCGTAGGGGTCCAATGCACATTCCGTCACTTGTTTCCACTGTCCTCCGTCTTGTGCCAAAATGCTAAAGTAGTGCCACATCTTTCTGGCACCAATCTCTCATGTCGTCATCAAGCCATCCCTGTTAGGTCTCCCACTCTTTCCAGTTCCTTCCATTTTTCCAGAACAACACAATTTCCATTTTATAGATGTATGTATATGGCTACATATCTGATACAATTTAGTTGTGGGTAAGCATGCATGGCGGCATCTGAGGGAGGATCACAACCCCCAGTGCGGGAGGAGCTGGAGGCAAACTCTCCTTTTTTGTGTCCAGCAAAAATGTGTCAGCGCCAGTGGGAATCAAAACCGTCCGACTTTGCAGATTGGCTCGGTGTGAACTTGCTTAATCGTGAGGTTATACAGCTGCCTAAACAAAAGCCTTTTGCGACCTGAAAACTTGCACTTCACATTCAACTGAAAATGCAAATTCCCAACTGAAGTGCGTCAGGCTTAAACGTCTACCACGTGGCTAGTGATGGCGTTAACGGTGCAATAATTTCCAACTTCCTTTCCTTCAGTTGCACATTGTTTCCACTACACAATTTTAAACAATCAAAAGAAGTGGCTGCTCTTGAGATGAACGGGTAACCCTGGGAACAATACCATGGTTTTTTTCATGACATTCAAGGTGTGATATCTAAGTCTAGCCACATTCTTTACCCAGGGCAACACCTGGCCTGCCGTAGCTACTTTTACGCAAGCTGTCACCTTTGTGTCATGGTGACATTGTCAGCGGTGCATGACTTAAGCGTTTAAAACAAATGTTAATACATTCGCCTTCAAATAAAGTCACCAAAGATTGTGCCTGGCTAAAGAATATTGTGTGCACAAGGTGACAGATGGAAACACGGACAATTTGTATTTTTACGTAGTGAGTTCAACTGAGTCGCAGACGCACTCTTTGGAGGCAACACACGGGGTAACTACCCCATGACAGAATAATAACCTATGGTGGTAACCACCTAGGATAACTACACTCATTACACCGTAACGAGCTACAATGGACCGGACCACAGCTTGAGTCCCGGTCCACGTGTTGGAGACTCTGTAGGACGTAGAACGTAGATTTCTCTCCAGGATGAACAGCAGCAGCCCGTCCCTCTGGGGGACCCGGCCTATATCCTCTGTGGCGTGGCTGGCTCCGCCCTTGGCCAGGACCACCTTCCTCGAGAATCCTCGAGCAGGATCTCGCCCCTGACACGTGACCACCACTAGCCCCCCACTTGGGGCCCCTGTGTAGACTTAACCAGTCAGGTGTCCTCTGGGGTCAACCAGAGTGCCGCGGCCTATAGTAACCCCATTCCCGTGGCCGGCACACCCACACCCTATCCTGCAGGGGTCTGCACTGCATGCCAAGCGTGGTGCCATCCAGCGCTATCGATCAGCGCTTACCAAGCCCCTCTCGGGCCGGTACTGCACCCACATTCTAGTGGTGCCCGCGATGTCAATACGCCACACGCCGTGCCTCTCTAGGGCTGGCATTACACAGTGACATCCGTGATGTCACTACATTTATACATGCTGCACAGATCATAATCCTGATTTTACAAGTTGTAGATGTAAGCCACGGTTGATTTAACTGTTTTTTTTAATATTAATATTCTTGGTTCTTTCGGTAACGTCACGTAGATAGAAAATAAAATAAAAATAACAGATAATAAAATAAAATTGTGAACTTATATAACAAAACATAGCTAGATATTAAAACATTAAATATGTATGAGTTGTACGTGCCCAAAAACAGGAGGGCGGCACGCTGTATAAACATTCCAACGCATCGCTGCTCCTGCTCCGTACGAAAAACAACACAAAGGCGACACCAATCTGTCATTAACCGCTCTGTGTTTACGCATTCCTAGTGCGCCTGTCGGCGGGGTAGCACTGCACTTGGGCAGGGAATGTAGAATGCGTATAAACCTGCGGCACAAGTGCGCGTGTGGCAGACGGGCTCCGCGCTTTGGGAGAGAACCGCGCGCCGTCGCTGGGCATCCCTCGGCAGCGTCCGCGAGCCGCTGGGGAATCGCCAATCGGCACGGGGAGCTCTGCCAACCACGCCAGCGACACAACCACGCGCGACGCCACAGCCAGTGCCAGGCGGCCACTTAAGGCACTCGCCCATGGTGGCTGCGCTGATCAATAATTGAGTAGAGAGGCATTGGGCAGTGCTGGGACCACACTGTGCCCACTCGAGCAGCTTAGGGCTAATTACGGAGTGTACGACTTCAAAACCTAAGGCCATAACAAGCTTGGTGGAAAACAACTCCAACTGCACAAATCATGTCAACAACTGTAACTGTTTTTATTTAAACAGGTGTATGGCCCACTTGAGATAGAGCTCTTTATCAGAAGCGACCTGGCCACAAGTGGTAGTCCAATGAAGTGGCTTTATCATGGGGGCATTTATAGCGGCCAAACACTCTTAAATGCATATTGCTTTTAATGTTAAAAGAAAAACCCGGAGGAGCCGGAGAAAACCGCACGCGACGACAGGGAGAACATTCAAACTCCAAACATACAGCAGGCGTCAGTGGGGATCGAAGCCGCAACCTCCTGGAAACCGGGCGAGGTAGTTAACGTCTCGCTACTGCAGTGCACGGTTATTATGAAATCAATGGTCATATAGAACACGCACGATAGCAATCCGTCCGAGACCAAGCAGCTCCACCTTGAGCAATGATCAACAGCACTTCTACGCTGATGGCCCCTACACTCTGACGTTCCCCATCGGTTCCACACGCCCGCCCTTCCCACCAGCTGCCTCGACAAGAATTTCGTCCAACTCCCCTCCACGCGATTCCAAGTCAAAACAGAAACATTCAGCAATAAATACGACCGTTGCTTGACTCCTCCTTCAACCTTAGAAGGGGATTGTCCTGAGTATGCAGAATGTTTAACACGTAGGCTTTCGTGACCAATATGATCCATCACATTTATGTGGCGGGTTTAAACGGCACATTTATATTTACGCCATCGAACCCAAAAACATCGAATATGGAGTATACAGAATATTGGTGTAATCCTTACCCCGCAAGCTCATTTCCTAATCCCACATCTGTAACCTATCCACAACCCTTTATCTCTGTTTACATAGCATTTCCTTTACCCGTCCCTCTAATAACACTTCATAACGTTAAACTGTCCTTCCTTCACATGAGTAGAATCCTCCTGCTTTCTATCAATATGACCTGCACTATGAAGCGTTGGACCATTAAGATGCCCTGCTCGAAGCACCTCATCAGCGGTCACGAAACACCATTATTATTCAAACCCAGACGTCCCTGAAATGGTTTTTAGCTCACCAGTCCATCAATTACAATATTACGCTCTCTCTGAATCCTTCTCGGCCTTAACCCCTGCCTAACGTCCCTGACCTCATCATACCCTACTCCTCCAATTATGACGCATTCTCTCCATTTTATCAAGGCTCATCTTCTCCCAATAAAACAAGACACGTCGCCCTCCTCACAATGGGTTCACTCTTTCTCCTCTGCAGCCAGCAATATGAGCGAACGCTTGCACGTGCCCGCCTACGCTACCGATTCCCACATGCAAATTTATGGAAACATTTCCATCTGGCATGAGCCAAAAAGAACAATATTAATGGGTGTGGCAGGGCGGCGCAGCGGTTAACACTCGTGCCGCACAGCATAAAGTACCTGGGTTCAATACATGACTCAGGTGCCTTATTGTATAGAGTCTGTATGTTTATACTGCTAGGTGGACAGAGGCAGGGCGATTTAATAAACTTGCCAATTGCTGCAAATGCCATGCCAGAAGATAGAATTGGAGACCTCTGGTCCAGTGTGCTAAGCCATTACGCCATGGTAGTATCAAATTGCACTTTACATGCTGAACGATAAAACTGTGCCACAGAGCCTCAGTTTCAAGACAGACCTTGCAAAAAAAAATGTTTTACTCATAATGGGACAAGTATGTTATTCTTCTTGGCATTAACCAGGCAATGGCCTACAATGCAGAGAATTCTCAGGCATCAGACATCTGCAAGCAGTTTAAGGTAGCAAGCTTAAGTGTCCTCTCTGAACGTAAGTGGAACAATGGATCCACGAGTCTTCATTGCTTGCAGGTGTGGCCTCCCGTCTGAGAATACCAGGCTAGACTGCAACTTTATTCAATGTGCAGCACTTGCACGTTGTGCGACAGGGTGGCACAGTGGCCTCCATAGCAAGAGGGTCCTGGGTTCGAACCCTGACAACAACCCTTCTGCATGGAGTTGGTTATGTTCTCCGCCTGTTATGCATGAGTTTTCCTCTGCGTTCTCTGGCTTCCTACCAAGGCTAAACACACACAATGTAACTGTTGCTTGTCAAACATTCCAATGCAGGACCCTACTGGCTTTCCTGAGTAAATAAGTAATTGTGATTATGAAGTGCATACCAATATGTACCGGTGAACTTTACTCATTACACACTGCAGACAGTTTTTTTTTTTTTATGAAAGGGTTAAAATGCTAGTTGGATAATTTACAAATACTAGAAGGAAAGTCCTTTGCTGTTGATGCCCCCCGGGGTCCGGAATGCTATCGCGAATAAACTACAACTTGGATCATTACCTGTGAGATCTGCACTCAAAACTGCTCTTGAGAAGTTGTACAACCCCCGCT